GTAGATAACCAACTTTAGCTCGCAATTTCTATGCTCGCAATGCATTACATCGATACGTCATCAATATGTCATCACCTGTCTTTCCTGACATCCACGGACGTAGGCCGTGACATAGCAGCTACTAATTGAAAATCAGTAGATGCAAAAACAATGACAATCCCTTATGACAATCCTCATGATATATGTTTTTAGGAAATAGGGATATTTCACTTCTGCCAGGCATACTAGTTATTTATACATAATTAGCAATTTACCTGTGGTGGTGCATGGTCATTTTCTTGTAAAATATTATACTTAGACAAATTTTTCCTTCCAATGACCACCCTAGCCTGAAATGTCAGGTTCAAGCAGGGGGAACGCCTGGCATTTCAGGCTACTGACCACCCCTAAAAGCAACCCTTCTGAACACTATTTTCTGAAGTTACAGCTATGTCGAAACTGCCCTTTTAGGGCGGGATCATTTTCAGGACTTTTGTCCCAGATTCAGGTTTTGGCACATATGCCATGTTGACCGCCATGGTCATTTTACCCTAAAACAGTTGAGATTACCTGTGCTAAATGAAATGCATACAAACTCATATACAGGTCCTAGACTATAATAAAACTTAAAAAACTCATTAATAATTCAGGAGCAAAACACAAAGAAAAATCATAAGCGTGTCGTGGTTTTATATGTGATAAAAAATCACGTTAATTTACATAAACTTTAGCTTTGATTTTCTCGGTTTAGACAAAGTTTATTTTAAAAATTACTTTGCCAATGAACTTGTATAAGATGAGTCATTTTTGAAGCTATTTAAAGCACTTGTAGTCGTGTTTTATCACATATAAAACACTATGCTACGTGTCGTGTTTTATATGTGATAAAACACACTCCTACGTGTGCTTTAAATAATACTTAAAGTCCGATTCCGAGCTCGAATTCCCAGCTCGATTCCGAGCTACATTCCTTGGCTTGGTATATAGTATATCTCGAAAATGATTGGTTAAATTATAAAACAACTAGAAATAAAGTAAATATAGAATTAAGGAATGCCAAGAAAGATTACTATTCCTCGAAAATAGCTGGTCAAAAATTCGATCCCAAAAGAGCTTGGAAAAGTATTGACAACTTATTAGGTAGGCAAAACAAACAAACAGTGGTAAATGAACTAATTCTAGATCAAAACAATTTATCAACCATTTTTCAAACATCGTCCCTAATTTAGCCAGCAAAATCGACTCTTCAAATTACAATTTTGAAACGTATGTTAAAAATGGTAAATCAGAGTTTGCTGCATTCCAACCTGTTACTGTCAGTCATGTCTGTCGTTTTTTGCTTGGGCTTTCCAGCAATAAAGCAACTGGTATTGACAAGATTTCTTGTAAAATTATTAAAAAAGCTGCACCTATCATTTCAGATTCACTGACACTTATTTTTAATCAGGCTATTACTCTATCTTTTCATGATGAATGGAAAATGGCTAAAGTAGTACCTCTGTATAAAAATGGCCAACTTTAATCAGGCTATTACTCTATCTTCTTTTCCTGATGAATGGAAAATGGCTAAAGTAGTACCTGTGTATAAAAATGGCCAACGAAACATTCCAGGAAATTATAGACCGATATCAGTTTTGCCAACCATTAGCAAAATTATGGAACAAATTCTATATGATCAACTGTATGACTATTGAACAAAATTTGAACTTCTTAGTGATTCTCAATTTGGTTTTAGAAAATTTCACTCCACAGCTACTGCATTACTGGACTGTACCAATGATTGGTATGTGAATCTAGACAGAAAAATGTTTAACCTAGTAGTTTTAATTTATTTAAAAAAAGCATTTGATACTGTTGATCATCAAATTCTATTGAGGAAGTTAGAGCTATATGGAATAAAAGGACAAGCTCTAACTTTGCTCAAATCTTATCTCACAAACCGAAAACAGAAATGTCAAATAAAAAATGCCTTTTCATCTGAGCAATTGATTAACTGTGGCGTACCACAAGGCTCTATTTTGGGGCCACTATTCTTTTTGCTGTATGTAAATGATTTACCTCAATGTCTAAATAAAACAAAACCTTGTTTGTTTGTTTGCCGATGACACAAATCTGACAGCTTCAGGAAATTCTATAACAGATCTTCAGGTTGCAGTTAATTCTGATTTAGAAAACCTTAGAAAATGGTTAATTGCTAATAAACTTAGCCTTAATGTAGCCATGACCTAATTCATGTTAATTGGTTCAAAACAAAAGATCTCTAATTCTCATCCCAATGTTGTCATTGAAAATACACAAATTAAACAAGTTTATGAATGCAAAACTCTTGGAGTAACAGTTGACCAGCATTTATCTTGGAAAAGTAATACAGAAAATATTTGCAAAAAAAATAACAGCAGGAATCTCTGCTATTTGTCGAGTCAAACCTTTTGTTGACAAAGAAACACTTATTTCCATATATAACGCTATTGTTCGCCCATACTTCGATTACTGCTGTGAAGTATGGGATGTGTTTGGCAAAACACAATCAAAACGACTTCAAAAACTTCAAAATAGAGCTGCAAGAATTATCTTGAATATGAGTAATGACGTAAATCATTCTATTGCTTTGTGTGAATTGGGTTGGGAACCACTCAAAACATTAAGGAAGAAAGTTAAAGGAAAAATTGATGTACAAAGTATTAAATTAAATGGGTCCCAAATCACTCACAAATATATTTTCTTATAAATGTGAGAAAACAAACTATCACCTTCAGGACATTTCAACTGGTCTTTGTTTACCAAAATCTCGTTCTAATAACATGTAAAATAGTTTCATGTACAACGGAGCTAAACTTTGGAATTCTATTCCAAAAGAAATTAGGGAAAGCAAATCACTTTCTTCCTTTTGAAATAAAATCACTGCTCACATTTATGAATAATAAGTATTGTAAATAATGTGCCTGTAAACAGTCTGCCAACTTTCTCATTAGACATTAATATGTTACTATTTTAATACTCTATATCTCTTAAAACCTTTGTAAATAGCTCTATCACTTTCCTGTACTTGTAAAAATCTGATTCAATTTTTTGGCACATGCCCCTCGTGGAAATCAGCTTTAGTTGACAGGGTCAGTGTGTATAAATAAAAATTTCTATCTATCTAAATAAACAGTCGTACAATTTGTACAGTTCCAGTTGCTTCATCATTTAAAATATTTCTAGAGCCATAGAGATCAATAATTTCATGAAAAAGTATCAGGAATCACTACACAATGTTATTGAATATAGTTAGACCTCAGTTAAAGCAAATAATTTTCACGGGAAGTTGATTTAATATTTTACCTTTCGGTTGTCATAGATTTATTGCATTTAGATTACATAACTTGAAAAGCTATTTTTAGCTTCGAGGCCACTTGCATTTGGCGTTCCCAAAAACCGTAGTTTCAATAGCCCAAAAATGTTTTTCTACTAAATTGAAGGAGAAACGTTGCTCTTTCGCATGGAGATATGACTTTAAACGTCAAAGCAGAGGTCCAATAAACGATTTTCCACTCTAAATTTAGCCATTTTTTGGTCTCGAAAAATTCGGTAAATTAAGTAATTCGGTAAAGTAAAATTGTATAGAAATACTTCCTCTTTGAAATGGTTAATAAATGTTTGTGATAAATATTTATTTCAATTTTTAAGCGATCTGTAAACGACCTACGTTATGTGTCCTGTTAAACCAGTCCAAGAGACGTAAAAACAAAAAAAAGCCGTTCGCCCAAAATAAAAATCTGTTTGAACTTAAAGTTATATTTCTAGTAATAGTTTACCTAGACCTATATTCTGACAAAGTTGGAAGATTTTGAATTTTTTCACTTTGCATACCTCCAGTGGATATTTACAGACGGCGGCTCTTAAGACATATTTTCATCAATAAGTAGAGACAATTTCCAGAGATGATAATGGGTTCAACGTACTTGCTAGAACTGATTAACATGAATTGTCTTGGATTGATTTAGAGTATTAAAGCTTGTTTGCAATAAGCGGCTCATTTACGTTAGCAAGATCTTTATTCCAATTCTGATTAAAATCATGAGCGTTATTGCTTGCAAATGTCAAATGGGTGTCATCTGCATGCTAAATACATGACTGGGAATGTTCCATGCAATTAGGTGAATCGTTTATATAAATTAAAAATAGTAATGGCCTTAAGATAGTGGTGATACACGAAACATTTTGATTATGATCAATTAGGTAAGATTTAAACCATTCACTTCCTATACCATATGCATTTAATTATGATAAAAAATTATCTATAAGATTATCTATAAAGATCTATGAAAACTACTGCATTCACATCACTGTGATAGATGTTATACACCCAGTCGTTTGTGGCTTCCACAAGAGCATTGTCTGTGGAAATGCCTTTCTGTCAAGGAGGCAGTTTGGGCACCTTGGTGTTTCACAACAATGGTCAAGCTTGGGGCTTACTGTTTGTTACATTTACACATCATTAAGAAACACAGATTACTGCTTAGCTTCACGCCTTTGTGCAGCTTTGGAAGACAACAGTGGAAGAAAGGGACTTAAACTTTGGGGAGTAGAACATTAACATTACATACAGTTGTTTAAATAAGTTCCTTATAAATAGTTTGCTTCAGCAAATCGAAAACAGTGCAATACTATACATGAATGGCTTGGGGATAACAAACCTTTACCTGAATTTAGATATGGGGGAATGTACTTTTTGTAACTCCTCAACGGTTCTAGAACACAGAAAAGATTTAAATTTCAATAAACGAATCTGTTGTTCTTGATCATGCCAGTATACTTATTTAGGTATCACTCTCGAACATCACTTAATTGAATTTGCATGAATATTTATATTAATACTACAGTGTTCAAGAAAGTTACCAATTGCATCTGCAGAGAGTCAGAGTCAATCTAACTACACACGTAGCCTTCTGCATTTACAATGTGATGATAAATTTGCAAATGACACATTGTAGTACTATATTATTTGGATTAGCTTGTTATTGGCTTGAGAAGTTAGAATGCATTCTCAAGAGAAGCAAAAATTCTTTGTGGAGGTCAAAAAGCTGAATAATGGACGACTATTACTGACACTATTAAAAGAAATGCTATGTTAATGGTTTTTGAGTCTTTAAATCACACCAAACCAGAACTTTTTAATAACTGTTTCTCTTGATCAACCCAGAGATAAACAACTCATGCATGGGACCCGCTCGCTGTTGAATCTACCCCGTGTGAGAACTGAAGCTGGATGTAAAAGTTTTAGATATCAAGGAGCAGTCTACCAGCTTAGATTAGGAACGAAGTATCAATTTTAAGATTAAAGAATAGCTTAAAAACCTTACTTTTTAAACATGACTATTTAAAATGTAGTATTAGCATAGGGCGCCCAACTACTGTCAGTAAAACTGTAAAATAAGTAAGAGTTATAAACCGACTTACTCGGTTTATAACTAACTTATATCACACTTGCTGAGGTTTTCCAACATATTTTGTCATTTTCAAAAATTTTTAATGAAAAATTCTCGCGTTTTGTCTACAAGTTTAATCCAATCATTTATTCAAGGTCTATAAGCTAGTTATAAACCTCGGACGAACAAAGAAAACCGACGCAAGTGTGATATAATCAAAATAATAAACTTACTTTAAAAGATTTACATAAATTCTTTGCAAGAATGTCAATGGAAAAGAGAAAAAAAATTATATGAAGCACTATCAAATCCTCAACAGATAAGTAATGTGGGTGCATACAAGATAATTGACAAGTTAATGGAAGACTTTGTTAAGAATGAAAGAGAAGAAATGGTAGCTTTAGGGATTTAGGCAGAATTTGATGAGCTTGAGCAGCTGTTACTTGATATATATGAAAGAGCACATCATGCTGCGACAGCTTTGGCACAACAACTTGAAGAGAAAGAGAAAGCTGCAGATGACGAGAGACAATGGATTGCAGATGTGAGGACCCAAGGAATGGAAAAGCAGGTAAACAATCCTATTAAACGGAAATCAACAGTGTTAAAAGAATTGATTGAAGAAGGAAGGAATGCCAAAAATGAGTTGGAAGCAAAACGAATTGCACCTGAAGAGAAACGTTTACAGGCAGATAAAGAAAGGCATGATTTGTTTGCAGATGTTGTTGCTCAACAGCAGCAGCAGCAACAAGCTTGGCTTATTCAACAACAAACACACGCCCATCAACATCAACAACAAGTCATGCAGATGCATCTAGAAAATCAAACACAACAACAGGTCTTTCAACAACAGCAACAAAAGATGATGACTGAGTTACAAGTTCAAAATAGTCAAGTTCAACTGGAACTGCTTAAAGTTTTAAGAGACATTAAAGACAAGTAGCTTTATATAAACAAGATTATCTTACATTTGTTGAGTTCAAGCAATATGTTTTTATTGGATTTTGTAGAAAGGCTGATGCTAATATATACCTGTACATTTTTCTTGTTATAAATTGGAAGGTATGGTTCATTGTTCACATTTATGGAAAATACTTATTGTAAGTAATAATATGTTACATTTGTATATATATTATATAAAAATATACAGTTTATGATTATAATTATACATGTTATTCAACAAATGCCAAGTATTCTTCCAAGCTAGGTGGTTGTGTTTCAAAAAAAGCACTTATTATGTTAAAGGCAAGCCCTAGCATTATGTAAAATAGTGCTAACAATATACAGCTTCCCAACTGCTTGCAAGTAGAGTTTCAAGTTTTTTTTGAAGTCCACAAATGCAAAATATGTGCTTATTCCTCCAAATGGCCACTCTACTGCTATTCGCACCCTACTCATTGAGGTGTTGAATGCCTTTTGTGGCTCAGTGAGGTTTGCCCCCTTAAAAGGACCTTACACATGCCGACTAACAGGATAAGATCCATCTCCATATATACATAAGGATCTGTTATCTTCATCATAAGAATGTAGTTGTAGCTGTTCTTGTAAGCCAGACTCGACAAATATTCTGGCATCATGCCTTTTACCTTCTATAAAACAGCCAGAGATTTGCAATAGATTTTTTTATTAAGAAAAATCAATTGAAAAACATTGACAAATACTGGCATATGCCATATTAAAATATTCTAACCCAAAAACATACCTACAGGTCCATGCATGTGTACAATTAGACCATTTGCTGCTACGACTGATTGGTACTTCAGTGCATGAACACGTTTGTGTCCATTATATACCTGTCTCTGGTATTTTCCAGGTCGACATATCGGACGAACCTGGGTAGGAAATAAAAATATATTACTGACAGTTAATGCATTTTTAAACATGTATCTGTGACAGAAGAGGGGGCATTCATAAGAAGTGATTTTTTCTTTGGGCAAGGCCGCCGAGAAGAGGGGGGGGGGCAGAGCAAATTGTCCCAGGCACCACCTTAATAGAGCCCCAAATTGAGAGTGAGAGCCTAAAATTGAGTAAGTTCTTTAAATTGTTAAGAGAATTTTTGAAATTGAGGGACCCTTACAGTACCTCCACATCCAGTCTAGGTAGTGTCTGGTTGGGTCTAACTTAAAAATATGTCATGGGCCCCCCAGGGAAGATTTACCCTGGGCCCTGCAAATTCTCTTGGCTGCCCTGTTTTGAGGGGGTGGCGACCTATCCCTGGGGAAAAGGTGATTTGCAACAGCAAAATAATTAGAAAGACATTTTCAATTTAAAAAAATTAGCTGTACACCATCACAATGGAAAATTCTGTGTCATTCAAACTGGAAAATAAAGTAAAATTTAAGGACAACAAAATGTCAACCCCAGGGAAATTTTCCAAGGTGGTGTGGGTGAGTCCATCACAGAGCAACTGAGGTAGCACGCTTGGCTGAGGTTCACACCCTGGCTTGTGAGGTTAACAAATTGTCATTCATGATTATCATTATGAATTAAGGGTATTTAAACTCACCTCTTGCTACAATAATTTCAATTTAACCCATTAAGCTGCAGAGTTTCCCCATTGACAAGTAAAATCATCTGGCGTTAGAGAAGTAAAATAAGTAGGGCGCATTGCGGCTCAATGGGTTAACTAGATACATTGTCAGATTTTTTGGTTAACTATGCATGCAACTTACCGGCCCGTCTACAAAGCCCCAACAATTATCTAATGCTGCTCCTTTTCTGTGCACTGCTTCACAATATATTCCCAACATTCTTTCGCTCATCCATGGAGCAACGAAAGAGTTCAGCAAATGTTTATGCTCTGCATAAATTAAATCTAGCACATCATTACCAATGATTGATAGCTCTGTTTTAGAACGGCTAAAGAGGGGGATTAGGTCAACATAACGACAGGGGTATGCTAACTGACGCAAAAGCAGACACAAACCTTCAATGCTATTCCATGCCGTACCCTGATAACCAGTAAATTTATCTGGCAACCGAAGAGCTTGTTGCAAGACGAGTGATATGTTGTTTTGAAAATCGAAACCTTTCTAAACATTCAGTTTCATCTAGTCAGTCTAAATCTAGATTTTTGTAATTACTGTGCTCTATTGGTTGGTTTTCATTACTCGTAGAAACTAACTGAAATGCTAAGAAAGCTTCCTCTTCGCTGAAAACATCATCTTCAAATGCCTGCAATATCAAAGCTTCTTCCAAGAAATATCAAATGCATGCGCCATATTTGTTTTGATAATTCGTTCGTCGTGTAACTTATCACTTTGAAATGATATCGGTATTGGTATCGGAAGTCGAACTTAAACTCTCTAATAGCATCTTTAAAGAGCAACTCTCTTTGAGAGTTGAGCCGACTCTCAGGATATTTATGAGTGATCTCTGAAATATCTTCTAAATTGGTCAATATTTCATCACCTGAGAGCCGTCTCCTCCGACAGGTATGATACATTTACATATTTTTTATAAAGAACTGGGATTAATAAATTACCTACATATGTTTGCACTTGTGGATATTTGGAAATGTCATTTATTATATTTGATGTAGCGAGCCAAGGTCCTCTGTTTTCAACTCCAGTACGCAGACATTTTTCAACTCCATGCACTCACACTCTCACAGTTGCCTATTGTTGAAGGTAGTGAGGTGGAAACAGAATATGTATATAATATGTTTTCATTAAACGTTTCTTTAATATGCCTATTTGTGTCAAAATTATAAGTATGTGACATCCTGACTTTTTAGAATTGCACATATGTCTGGGGTGTCTGACCTGAATGTTAGCAGGGTAGATAGCATCATCATGGGCATTAATCCACATTTTGGTATGCATGAGGGCGAACTATCATCAGAAGACTGTTCCAGTCAAGCTCAACCTACAGCTCGGATGATGAAAGTGATAGGAGGTACTTGTTGTCATACAAATTTTGCCAAAACTTCATTTTCTGATTGGTCATGATCTTCCATTGCTTTGCCTTGCCAAGATATAGATTTAGGGAAAGCCCAGCTATGTTATTCACTGATTGGTATGGTAAGTTTTTAGAATTAACAATAATTTGAATGTTTTTTCATAGTTTTAGCTCAAGTGAGGAGCTTGATGTAGATGGAGAGGATGAAGGGTAAGTAAACACACAATAATATTGTAATTATGTTAAATCCCTTTCCGAGTCTCATGTCAAACAGGTATAGTTCGGTAAGCAATGTCAGACTTATAACAAGATGTGTTACCAACTTACATTATTAGGGCCCCCAGGAGTGTGTGAGTAAACACTTTTTGCTTCTTCCATTCCCCATTCAGTATAAAATAACAATATATACATTTATGTAAGACTAAATAATATGGGTCATTCCAGAAAAGATCCAGTGTCCCCCCATGGAGGAAATTTCTGCCGTGCGGAGAGGGAGGGGAGAAAAAATTGTTTCTGGTAATAGGAAATGTATTAGGACATCTGAAGGGGGTAGGGGGGGGGGTTAACTTCCAATTTCCTCCATGGGGGTGGTGTCGATGTTTTCTGGAATGACCATTATAATAATTGTTTTTGCTTGATAGTGACAGTGATCTAGATGAAACTCTTACTGCTTCTGAATGTGGCTCACTGGGAGAAACTCCTATGGACATAAGTGAGTTAGAAGATATCGAGATTGAAATGCAGCATGGCCCGGAATCAAAACAGGAAAGAAACAAACGTCTAAACCAAGAATTGAAGGATAGGTTTGATTCCTTAAATTGTGTCGGCGAAGAAAGTGACCTACATAATGCGCATGCTCAGCAAGAACAAGTTATTGTTGACATAACAAAACTTTTACCACTTTTTGAGTGGTATTACCATTTCAGAATGGTCAAAACCAGTGCTGAGCAAGGGCAAATGCGACAGTTATTCTGTTCCTTCGGGTTAAGCGAGGCCTTGTCCCCTTCAACAGCAGTATAACACAGATGAATACGTTTTAAAATGATGCTTTTATTTACTAAAATTCGCTTTGTAAAAAAAGAATGCTCACTGAGGCGTGAGAACCGAGCCAAAAAACACTGGTAAAAATGGCTCGCTAATGAGATGCGGTTTACGGAAAAATACCGCGAAAACGAGTGAACGCAAAGAAATAATATTAAAGGCTATAGAAAGTATCTAGGGGGCCATAGTGGCCATGCGAACAACAGTAAATTCAGCTTTTAAGTTTGAGGTTAACGTTTGCATTACAAGTTTTACAGATAGATCCCGATACATTTATTTCTATTTTTGTAATATGAATTTTAATACACATACCCTAAAAAAATACTCAAAAATACTCTGCAAATAAAAAAAAAAATTCCATCAAGATAAAATTGAATAACTAGAAAATGCTACAAACGATCCTATACTATTCTGGAAAATTCTTAAAAATAGCACAGATGAAATTAATCCTAATGAAAGGTCTAAAACACCATCACAGAGTCAATGGCTGAACCACTTTCAGACACTAAAAGACATCAGTTTGGATTGTTTTGTTGAGTAACTCACCAAACTCATGTAGAACCTGTAGTAATTGTGATGTAGGTTTCCCCCTGAGAAATCCATATTGGAGGTTATGAGGTTACTCTGGTTGCCACAGGTTCTCTTTGAGAACCTCTGGTAGCATGCAATATAAATATCACTTCCTTTGGTACAAAATTGTACAAAGCACATGATTGGTTAGTTATAATTAGCAGTCACATGAAGTGATTGGCTAATTAAATAGAGCTTGTGAGAGACATTTTGGGAAGTAAGGTTAAAGTTCCAAGTCAATTCAGGAAAATTAAAGTCTCCAGTTATGAAAACCTGAGCCATGTTTCTGTGGCCGATCAGCATAAAGGTCTTGAAACGATTTTAGATTGCTTGGCAGGCATCACTTGACAGGCTTCATTGCAAAAATGCGTTTGATTACAAATGGCAGTAAAACCACCAGAAAGTGTCATTTTTAACTATGCCTTCAGATATTCACTATTTGTTTGAGACATAATTGCTTATATTGAACAAAATATTCACTTATGACTTTAACATTAATTTTAATGGTAGTACACTTTGTTAGATTATTCACTTTGTTATGTGTACAGTACTTTGTTTCATTACGTAATTCAAGTTTAAACACTGAACAATATGCTTATTTGGGTGTGTATGTTTGTTTTTCTAAAGTTACTAAAATAGCACTGGAAAATCTCTTTCAGCGATACCCACTGTGCATGACGGTAGGAGTCGTCACCTTACAATCAAATGCGATGGGGCGAACAAATTTTGTTCCAATTATTAATGAATAAATAGTTCTTCCTGTTTGACATATATTGGCAAATCATTAATAATTCAGGAGGAAAACACAAAGAAAAATCATAAGCGTGTTGTGGTTTTATATGTGATAAAAAAATCATGTTAATTTACATAAATTTTAGCTTTGATTTTCTCGGTTTAGAAAGTTTATTTTAAAATTACTTTGCCAATGAACCCGTATAAGATGAGTCGTTTTTTAAGCCATTTAAAGCACTTGTAGTTGTGTTTTATCACATATAAAACACTCCGCTACGCGTCGTGTTTTATATGTGATAAAACACTCCTACGCGTGCTTTAAATAGTACATAAACATAGGGGTCTTAACAAAGCGTGGTTACAATTTGAGCGAAATCTGTGAATTCCAAGCCCTAACCAAGAAAAGCCCACCAGAGCGAGATAACAAAGTTACATGCTTTGTTATCTCACTCTGGTGGGCATGATTATCATTATTCATTTCTTTAGAAATGATTGTTTTCACTGTCAATGAAATGAACACAAAAATATTTGGATAGCGGGACCAAATCGTTGGGCTGGCTATGTATGCTACTGCACCTGTAACATCTGAAGGTCGAACTTAGTGTGTCAAAGAAAGATCTCTAACTTTTCCTTTTTCTGTCATGTTTGAGGGGTGTTTTGAAAATGAAGACCTACGAAAACGATGACCTAAGATGGGTCTTTGGCCTTCGTAATTACGAAAACAAAGACCTGTTTTCGTAGTACGTTATTGTGAAAATAAGCATAAAAGTGTATAATAATAAAATAAATTTCCGATAAATTGTGTAAAAAATTAAGTAATGGAACTATATTTATTGATTATTAAGATATATACAACTACAATGATAAATACATACTGTACGTTCTTGTTGGTGCTCGTCACCGCCCATAGATTGTTAATATCTACATTTGGTGAGTATTTTAGAGCTGATCGATATTTTTATGCAATACCGTCTAATGTTTCGCAGATCCAGGTCTTAGAGATATCAGAAACAGTAAAGTCCCAGGATATCTTTGACAGCAAGAAACAACTGTATAGAAGAATTTTATTTTTCAGGTGTAAGGGTAGTTCATTAATTTTATTCATGATGTCATTAAACATGTCCAGTAATTCTGATTTGTGTTCCTCATCAGACATATTGAAATCAAAATAGCGACCTAAGTAACAGAAAGATTTGCCAATTTCGGTTCTGGGTACAAGATGGTTATTAATGAAAAGCTTGGGTAAATACTGGATAGATTTAGTTAACTGTTTTTTAATGCCAAATGTTGAACACTTGTCAACATGTATAATCATATTAGCCCATTGACACCATTTCACATGCATATATGCATTTGCTGTACTATTGTCAATGTCTGAGCAAATGACTCATCTTTGCTAGGAATTTGCCACTGTTGCAGCATCTGTGTGCATGTGAAATCATTGGGAATTTCAGTTAGAACTAATTCTGTTATTCAATAGCTTTAAACATCAGTGCAACAATATGTTTACATTGTCCCCTTTGCCAGCCTTGCATGCGCAGTTACTATACAAAATGTCCCCATTTTCCTGATTCAGATGGACACATACAGTGTAAACAATTTTTTCATAGCAGCATTCACACTTGCTTTAATCAGAAAACAGCACAATTTGTCCTTGCATACATTTGCTTTAACTTCTGCATTTTCTGTTGTTTTGTATAACTTTAATCAGAATAACTTTTAAGTACAAACACGTATTGATAATATAAAAGACTACATTTTGATAAAGTGTTCACACCACGAGGAGATACATAACCGAACAGACTTGATATTTGAATTATACTTCATGCAAACTACATTATAGTGTCTCATTATGCATAAACTATAAATGTCAACACTCCCACTTAATGATATACTATAATGTCACAAAATTGTCAATGTACTTCTTCAACACCTAACTTGTCTCTGAATTTTTCAAACAATGCTTTTGACAACGGTTTAGTCATTATATCTGCTAGCACTTGTTCTGTCTCACAGTATTTAACATATATAACTTTGTCCTTCACTTTTTCTCGAATGAAGTGGTATGCTATATCAATGTGTTTGGTACGATTATGAAATTTGGGATTTTTTGATAACTCGATGGCTCCTTGGTTATATTTGTATATAAGAATTGGTTCTTCTTGCTTCACTCCAACATTTTTCAATAATCTACTTAGCCACACAACTTCTTGACTTGCCACACTTAGTGCTATATATTCGGCTTCGGTTGACAATCTTGACACAGACGATTGTCTCTTGCTGCACCAGCTGACAGTACTGCCACAAATTTGGAATACATACCCAGATGTCGATCTTGTATCAATATCACCAGCCCAATCCGCATCTGAGTAACCAGCTAAAATTCTTTTTTGTTATCTTCAGCTTGAAAGATAAGACCATAATTGCTTGTTCCTTGATATATCTTAGAATTGTCTTAACACCTTGCCAGTGTTCCCTGCTACAATCCTGGCAAAAATTATGTGGACACCTAACTTTTCTAACACCAATATTAACATTGAGACATTCTTTCGTGAAATTTATCGCCACCTGCCCCCTATTCAATGTTGTTTTGCACATTTAAATTTTAAAAGTTTCATTTACCAACATTGAATTGGGGGTAGGAGGCGGAGAAAATTTCTGGGGATTAATTCTGTAGAAATACATCTATTTATGTTTGATGCACGCAGTGTCCACAATAATATTTGCCAGGATTGTCTGAAATTATCACATATTTCAAACCGTCCATTTTCATGAATTTAAGGCTCGATACAATGGGAAAATAGGCTTGTTTGTTGAGCAAAAGGGGCAAAACAATTAGTTAATCAGGTTATATTTAGTTTAACTTTCTGATCTATGTTAAGTGTCACCTATCACATTACATGTCAAGGGGCTTTTTACGTATTATCTGGATTTATACAATTACCACTCTACAAAGCAATATTTTCGTATAACAAATTATTGAACATTGTAGAGAACGATGATCGTCTTAGTATACTTAGTCAAAACTGAGCGCAAAAATTTTCAGCCAAAAATGCGAGGTTTGTTTACCTCAGAACTTACCGCCAAGCGGATCTATCTTCAGTTCCTGAGCGTGAATCATTCACATTATTGGTAATACATGCATTTCAAAATGCAGATCCTTTGCTAGCCTGCAACATTTTGCAATGGGTTTGCAGCATGATATTCCTGTGAATTCATACAATATAATGGTATAAAACTGTATAAATGTGTAGGTGTACCCCACCGGAATTAGTACCCGGAAAATAGATACTGGAACTTGTTATAGTATGATGTAACGGGAAAATGCCCGGATATTGAACACATGTTGTCTTGATTTAGTTTTTGAATCGAAAAAGCGTTGTAAAATACGAGGAAAACATACAAAATAAATATAAGTAAATCACCGAACCCATGTGGAAACTTAAGTAACATAAGTAATGCTATTTTGATAGTTTAGTAAATTGATACGGTACACGGCTGTGTAGCATAACCAAATTCACACTAAATATAACAGACTATTGGGTTCTTTTAGTGTATAGGCATCCAAGGCGCTCACTATTTTCAGTTTTTTTATAACAAACGCAGCCCAACAGCAACTGTAGAGCGCCTTTAATCTAACAGTGACGTCACACGGTACACACTTGTGCAGCGTATAGTAAAGAATACACAGCTTAAATCTTTTAATCACCATGCTACACAGCCGTGTACCGTGTGACGTCACTGTTAGATTAAAGGCGGCTCTACAGTCGCTGTTGGGCTGCGTTTGTTATAAAGAAATCTGAAAATAGTGAGCGCTTCGGATGCGTATACACTAAAACAACCATATAGTCTGTTATATTTGATGTGGATTTGGTTATGCACTTAAAGTACTTTTGTTGAAAACTCGTCTTTATAGTCTGTTATATTTGATGTGGATTTGGTTATGCACTTAAAGTACTTTTGTTGAAAACTCGTCTTACTGCGTCTGCATAATTATTCATCAAAGCATATAAATCATGACCAAAGCTGCTCACCCACAAAATTATAAATATGCTTTTAAAAAAATTAAACCAGTTTAACCCATTGAGTTGCATTGCACCCTGATGCACCCTTCTTTTGTATTTTACTCTGTCTAACACCAGATGATTTTACTCATCAAGGGGAGAGCGCTGGCGCTTAATGGGTTAAACAATCTGTTTGTTATCCTAAAGCAATGGCAGCATCGAAAATGTATAGTAAAACGCCTGCTTTGGGCGAAAATTATCGATATTTTTTTAGGTTATTTTCAGAGAATCCTGGCAAAAATTATGTGGACACCTAACTTTTCTAATGCCAATATTAACATTGAGATGTTCTTTCATGAAATTTGTCGCCACCTGCCCCCTATTCAATGTTGTTTCGCACATTTAAATTTTAAAAGTTTCATTTACCAACATTGAATTGGGGGTAGGAGGGGGAGAAAATTTCTGGGGATTAATTCTGTAGAAATACATCTATTTATGTTTGATGCGCATGGTGTCCACAATAATTTTTGCCAGGATACTTGACTTCACCTAAATCTTCAATCTTGAATTGTGTACCAAATGATAGCTTCTCTTCATTTAACATATCAATGTTGTTGGAAAACAACAAGATATCATCAACATGGATGGATAAAATCACAAAGTTGATCTTGCCATTTGGTTGCTTTATGGACTTAATGTACAAACAAGGATCAGCACCAACTTGTTTATAACCATCTGACTTCAAAAAACTATCAATTGCTGAGTTCCAGCACCGGACAGCTTGCTTCAAAGTCAACCATACAGACTTCTCTTTAATTTGCAAACAAGATTTGAATTTTCTTTATTTACATAACCCTCTGGCTGTTTCATGTAAATCTCCTCGTCAAGATCACCTTGAAGAAAGGGCTGTTTTCACGTCCATCTGATGAATTTCCCAATTGCACATGTTTGCAAGTGCCAATAAAGATCTAACGGAGGTGATTCGCACAACTGGAGAGAATACTTCTTGGTAATCAACACCTTTGGCTTGTGAATATCCTTGTGCTGTGAGTCGTGCTTTATACTGTTGTACAGATCCATTTGCATCTTGCTTAACTTTAAAAACCCAATGATATTCTTTCCTTCTGGTAACAGAACAAGTTCCCGTGTACCCATTCTCGATCAATGAATTATACTCAGCCTCAGCTGCTTCCTTCAATTGGACACAATACTCAATTTTTCCACGGTTCAGAAATGTTTCTTGGCTCATTTATGTCTACAGTAAAGTCATTAGCTGCATACAGCTCTTCATCGAATCTGACTGGAGATCTTCTTTCTCTGAAGATTCAAATTTTGAACTTCTTGCATAAAGGTATCTTTGTAGGTTTCTCCCACTGGTTGGTTACGGTTTTCACGAACAGGTACAGGAATTACATGTTCGACAGCAACTTGATCATCAGCATCTTTATCATCAGCTGCACTTGCTGGGTGATAGAAATCAGATCTTGGTTTAGATGAGTGTTTACTGTTAAACTCATTAAACTTCTTCTAATCAAATATCACATCTCTGTTTCGGATAAATGATTTCGTAGATAGATCAAACAGCTTGTAACCTTTCGTTCCTTCAGGATATCCGACAAATACACACTTACGAGATATCTCTTCAAGCTTCTTTCTCATATGTTTGGGAATATGGGCAAATGCTATGCATCCAAATACTCTCAAGTTAGAAACATCAGGCTTTCGATTATACAGGCATTCAAATGGTATAATGCCTTTCAATGAAGTAGTTGGACTACGATTTTGAACATAGGTTGCAGTGCTAACAGCTTCATCCCAAAACTCGCTTGGCATCTTTGAACAAGACATCATGGAATGTGTAGTCTCTAAAAGTGTCCAATTCATGCATTCAACCACGCCATTCTGTGCAGGATTATAGGGCACTGTAGTTTGATAGGCAATTCTGTTTTCCTTTCAAACAAAACGCTTTCGAACAATATTCACCGCCATTATCTGAATGGAGAATTTTAACTTTCTTTCCGGAACTGTTTGTCACATGATTAACAAACTCCTTGAACTTCTCTTGTACTTCACTCTTACGCTTCATGAAGTACACACAGCACAGGTATATCTTGAATAATCATGGATAAATGTACAATATATTGCGAATCTCCACACGATTTGACATGCATAAGGACCAAACACGTCGCTGTGCACAATTTCGAATGGTTCAGTTGCTCGGTAAGGTGTTCCCTTTGGGTAGGCTGTTCAATGTTGTTTTCCCATTATACAGGATTCACATGGACTCACTCCATTATCTCCAACATCATTCATCCCATCAACCACATTATTATTAGCTAACTGTGAAACGTCATCGACTCCAAAATGCCCAAACCAACAATGCCAAAGATGCATATCTGTTTCTTCCTTTGCAACATTGATATACTCTTTACCAGGTATGACGTTCAACATGTATAGCTTTCCACACCTTTCTCCCATAGCCAATAACTTTGAATTTCTCATGACTTTACACAAATCCCCTTTAAAACCAACTGATGCACCCAACTTCACCATTGCTCTAACAGACAAGTTCTTCTCCAGATCAGGTATAAATAGAACTTCACAAATAACAATGTTCTGGTTATGACCATTGAGATCTGCAACTAGATTATATGTTCCTTTTCCATATGCCAAAATACTGCAGTTATCACCAGGGTTTACTTTGCATGGTCGCTTGAACATCACAAAATCAGTTAACCGGTGTCTCCTCGAATGTCATGTGCTGTGTTGCACCTGAATAGATTATCCAACCAGACTTGTTATCATCATCAGAAGCAATTAAAGCTTCTGGATTTGCTACATCATCACCTTTTCTGATTTTCTGCACAATGAACGGATTGTTTTCCTTTCCCTTTTGCTTGATTGCTATTCTCTTGTGTCTTTCATTTTGGACAGTCTCTCGCGAAATGTCCTTGTTCTTGGCAGAAATAGCAAGTTCCACAGAACGTTTTCTCTGATTTCTTTTCTTGGTTTCTACCGCCTCAAGATTGTTTACCTTTCCCACATTGGATAGAAAAAGCATCTTCACATTTCTTTGCATCTTTCCACCGATAATTGTCATTTAGGTGTATTCCTTTACCTTCTCGAATGAGATATTATCTTCACCGACAGCATCTAGTGCAGTTATCAGGGGTTTAAACTCTTCGGGTAAGCTTGCAAGTACAGTCATTGTCAGCTCCTTATCATCTATGTTTACCCCCATTTCCTTTAACTGATCATGTAACGATCTCAAATTATTAATATGTTCCAACATATTCCCCCCACTTTGAAGTCGACACGAGTAATATTGATGTCTCAATCTCACCTTCTGTAAGATGGACTCACATGCGAATTGGCTTTTCAAGGCATCCCAGGCTTCCTTTGTGGTATGCGTATCTCTGACATGAAATTGATTCTCAGGCTCAACATCCAAACAAATTTGTGTCCACGCTTTCTTCGAAGCCAATCGGTAAGCTTTTTTCACTGCTTCTGTAGCACCTTCCACAGGAGGTTCCAACGATTCATCTACATGACCAAATAGATCAAAAGTCTCCATATTAAATGCCCAAGATCAATAATTTGACCCGTCCAATTTCGTCATTCTCAGCACATTCTGAAAATCCGAAAAACATCGTCATTTTGATGCAAATTTGTACTTTTTACATATAAAGATCCTTCCTGGGCCCATAACCTGTTGTTTTGTATAACTTTAATCAGAAAACTTTAAACAGAATAAAGTACTATTTAAAACATGAGTGGGAGTTTTATCAGTCTGATAAAACACGACAATGAGTGTTTTGAATAGGTTAAAATACGACTACAAAAGAATACTAATTAGGATGAACATTATATAATCATACTAATTAGGATGAACAATTATATAATGCCGCATGCCTTATCAGATATAAAGTCATTCCACACGACATATTATGGCTGACATGATTTGCCACAAAGTTTATGAATTATTAATGAGTATTTTAAGTACAAACGTGTATTGATAATATAAAAGACCACATTTTGATAAAGTGTTCACACCACAAGGAGGTACATAACCGAACAGACTAGATAGTCGAATACTTCATGCAAGCTACATTATTGTGTCTTATTATGCATAAACTATAAATGGCAACATTTTTTAGATATTTTTCATTAAACAAACAATTGGTATCCCAATTTCTTGCTTTGGTAAGGTTCTCTTGGGTTATTTCCTGCACTTAATTTAAAGGGTTAAAAAGAAAAAACAATTCATAATTGTATTTTAACCAAAATGAGTCTTAATCTGCACACAAATAGAAATCAAAAGCACAAATCCCATATGGAACAAAGAAAGATGAGTAGATACTTCAATAAAAAATCTAAGAATGCAGAAGTTGTTGATAATAACAAGGGAAAAGATTATTCCAAAACACCAAGAACATCTGACACAGACATGGCAATAATATTGACAACAACGACAGACAAAGAAAAAAAGTGATTCAGCTTTGCCAAATGAGAACATTAGCAGTAAAGCAACAACTGCAATAGAAGAAAGCAGTGCAAATGTCACAGCGAACCTGGAAAATGAGGATATTGATTTGTCTAGTTTGACCTGTATTAGTAGAATGGATAGTGCTGGTCAAAATTCCAAGCATGTAAAACCAAAAAAGGTGGTAGAATTTAGAGTTTGTTTGTTCACTGCAACCAGGTATATCAATCATGTTTCGCTCGCTACTCTGGTTTAAATAAATTATTACAAAGCCCAGTCGAATTGTAATCGGGACCCAACATTTTGACACTCCAGTCTAGTGTCTTCATCAGGGGTGATCTAAAGTTGCAATTGTGGCTTCTTAAATACCTAAGGGATGACATCACCTGCCAATGAGATGCATGTATTCCTCTGGCAAATAGGCACCGTCATCCCTATTCAAAGCATGATTACTCATATTTATATGCCATGCTTCTAGGCAAAGTCTTTGACCATAGTGATTGTTTCTGGTAATTACTTTAGAGTTTTCCCACACAATCTCGTGTTTGGTGTAACCTTGTTCTGCTAAAGCTGATTTTCCCATGTCTAAAGTTGAAACAGCCTTTTGATGTTCTTTTAGCTTTGCAAAAATATGGCCTAAAGTCAAATAGGGTTTAAGGCAACCTTAATATTACAATTACTTAAGATTCTCTTGATTGGCTGTGTGACACCTTGAATGTATGGAACTATTGCATAACCCTTAACAGAGGTATCACCCTCGGAGTTATTTTGGTTCCTACAAACAGGTGATCTCAGGCAGTCATTAAGAAAACGTTTTGGGTAATCGTTTTCCCCTAAAACATTTAGAACATATTCATGTTCATTGGCTTGAGAATCACTGTTTGACCGCAAGGATTCAGCTCTTTGAAGCAAAGTTTTTGCTACAGATCTTTTATGGCTTACTGGGTGATGAGAGTCGTATGACAAATATTTGTCTGTGTGTGGGTTTGCGATAAACATTAGTCTCTAACTTCCCTTCGACAGTTCTGTGCACATTCAAATCTAAAAAAGCTAAATGTCCATTTATCTCGCGTTCTACTGTGAATTGGATGGGTGGCTCAATAGAATTGAAATGTTGCAGCAGAATATCAATTTAATTTCTAGAAACTGCACAGATGACATCATCGATGAAACGTTTCCAAAATGAGAGAGAAACCGGAACAGAGGCTAAAGTTCTTTGTTCGACATCTTCCATTACTAAATTAGCAATTACTGCCAATACTGGTGACCCCATCGCTGTTCCAAAAACCTATTGATAATAACAGCCTTCAAACACAAATGGCAAGATCAACTAGGATGTTTGTAAGAAAGGAAACAACATCAAATGATACCAACACTTGATCGGCTTTGAGAGTTTTACCTCGTACAAATTCTGCAAAATGACAGGAATTTTTAACAGTGTTCTCAGTATTTCCCACCACAGGGGACAAAACGTTCACCAAAAAACTTGAAACCCCTGATGAAGACACTAGACTGGAGTGTCAAAACATTGGGTCCTGATTACGATTCAACTGGGCTTTGTAATCATTTACTTAACCCAGAGTAGCAAGCGAAACATGAAGGTGATAGCAGTGGCCATCAAGAAAAGTGATCAAGTATTTTTGAGAGATTGAACTATGTTCCTGGGTAAGGTTATTATTGCACCATTTGTCAACAGTATAGTCATTCTAAGCATATAATTCAGAACCTGGCCTTAATATTAAACTGGTAAGTGGTAAGGCATATAACCTTGAGTATAAAAATGGGCAATTAGAGTGCAAGCTGGTGAACCCAGACATCATTTCTATCCCCTCCTTTGGAAATAGGTGAGTGGAAGAAATGACATCTGGGTTTGTGACTACAGGAAGGGGGAATTCCCCCCAAATAAAAAACCCCTGAAATCCCCCCCCCCAAAAAAAAACCCCTAAAATACCCATGATTTAATTTATCCCAAAGTAAGTTTGCTAAATACCTAAATTTAGTACTTAAAAAACTTATCAAGTTCCCAATGTGAATTTATACCCAAATTTATCTAAATTATACCTATTTAATAATAATTTGTTTTTTACTATGTATTGCAATACTTTTTAAATATTTAACACAATGCTATTAAAATCTGAAGATTTTTAAATTTTAATGATAAGATACCTGGAAATCAGTCCTACTAAATACTGCCCGGGGTCGCCCAGGGATGCCTGGAAGCGCCCGGGAGTGTGTGAGAACGCCCGGGGATATACAAGATTGTATAAATCAGTTCACGATACTGTTTGAGTCTCTATGAGGCATTATATTAATGAAAAATAATATTAAAAGTGATTTTCAACCAGCCTAGCAACAAGCGGTGAAGCGCGGTCACCCACACAGCAAGTTGTGCAAAGCATGAGATTATATTTATTATAAATGTAAATATTTGCTGTTATTTAAACCCGGACACCATGTTTTTCATTGGGGGTAGACCTTTTTGAAACAATTTGTAAAATTTTTCTTTCTCTTTTGTTTTCTGTGTCCATTGCACATACTGAACCTGGAGTTTAACCATCCATGGTGCCCACTCATAATTCCCTTGGCCGTATAATGATCTCCTGCAATCAACCTGTTGTAGCATGACAATTTTGTACAGTCTATCAACCACGTCAGGCAATTTCATTGTTTTCCAATTTGCTGAAAGTTTTATAACATGGTTCATTGACTGGCACAAATTGTTTTTCCAATCAGAACGAACCCATCTGTTATTTAGTTGTGGTTGCATAATCCCTGTCCGAATTTTCTCTGCAGTTTTTTCAAAATAGTTTTTAAATAAAGGTAACCGTGTTGCATATTTGTCCAAAAGTTCTAAATAGTTAAGTTCAAATCCTAAATAAATAGTTAAGTTCAAATCCTTCACCGCAGCTGTCTTTTACAAAAATATCATTGATGATTTTTTTTAATTAAGTAATTCACCCCTGCCTTGCTGGAGAGATACCGCTGAACGTTCTCCTGCAAGTGTCTTTGTACAAAGCAATTGTACAGACGACGGAAAACACTGCTTTATAGCTTTTGTAAGTGCCACCTCCTCATCAGACCCAATCACAAATCGCGATTGCGTCCCACCAATGTCAGTCCCTAACTTGCTTTGTAGGTGGGAGAAAAATCTGCGGTATGTTGCGGAGGAACCATCCCAGTGTAAATAAATTGCTGCCAGCATAATTGGGAATTAATTGTCCCTTTTCTTTTCAAGTTATTGTGCTGTTACACTAAAGTTGTCGCAAAACATGCACCAAGATTAAATGTCCTATCTATCCCAAGAAAGAATTGGGTTTCTAGCGTTGGATGAACAGAACTATTTAATGTTGTTTAAGCTGTCTTCCAGATACAGTATAATACACAGGGGTTTCCCGTTGGTTTGCACAATTTCTTGAATATTACTTTTCCAAGATACACGCTGGTCAACTGTTATTCCAAGAGTTTTGCATTCATAAACTTGTTTAATTATTTTATTTTTAATGACAACATTTGGATGAGAATCAGAGATCTTTTGTTTTTAACCAATTAACATGAATTCAGTCTTGGCTACATTAAGGCTAAGTTTATTGGCAATTAACCATTCTCTAAGGTTTTCTAAATCAGACTTTCCTACAGCCTCAAGATCAGTTATGAAATCTCCTGTAGCTGTCAGATTTGTGCGTCAGCAAACAAAGGTTTTGTTTTATTTCGACATTGAGAACTTGAGTATTTACATAAATGCTTTTTTAAAATCAATTAAAACTACTATGTTAAACATTTTTCTGTCTAGATTCACATACCAATCATTGGTACTGTCATTTCACGCAACATAACATATGCTTAACATATACTTATATACAGTGGCATATTACGTATATATAACACCTCATTAAATTCTGGTCATTTTGCTTGACTGATTATGATCATGTGATATGGAATTAAAATTCTCATTTTTCATATAATGGTGCATTTCTTTGGAATAAGTTCTCTATTGATGCAAAAAAGCCAATACTTTAAGTTCATTTAAAAAACTTATTCTACATCAAGGCTAGATCTAATCCTTAAATCTATCTTTAAATGCAATGCTTGTA